GAGAAGTATTTCGGCAAGTCTCCTTGGGGCTTTGAGCCTGACTACTTCCACGAACTCATCATGTATGACGAGATGTCGCGCACTGGCTCTGTCGGATTCCAATGGGGCATTGCAGGAGGTACCACCATCGGACTGCCACCTGTGTACCATCATGGAAGTGAAGAGCTAAAGCAGCGGGTTATGACACCATGCGTGAAGGGAGAGAAGGTATGCTGCTTGGCTATCACTGAGCCAACTGCAGGAAGCGATGTTGCCAACTTGAAGTGCACTGCCAAGCTTGAAGGTGACCATTACATCCTCAATGGTGAGAAGAAGTGGATTACCAACGGAATCTTTGCAGATTTCTTCACTGTGGCATGCCGTACTGGCAAACCAGGCGTGGGCGGCATCAGCTTGTTGTTGGTTGAGAAGGGGATGCCTGGACTGGAGTGCCGCAAGATGAAGTGCTCCGGCGCATGGTCCTCAGGCACAACCTACATTACCTTCGATGATGTGAAGGTGCCAAAAGGGAATTTGCTTGGCAAGGAAGGCAAGGGTTTCCAATACATGATGCAAAACTTCAATCATGAGCGATTCGCATTTTGTGCCATGAGCACTCGCTTTGCACGTGTTTGCTTGGAAGACTCCTTGAAGTTTGCCGGCAAGCGCAAGACCTTTGGCAAGACTCTGATCCAACACCCAGTCATTAGATGGAAGGTGGCTGAGATGGCTCGCCAGATTGAGGCAACTCACAACTGGTTGGAGTGGATCACCTACCAACTGAAGACCATGCCAAAGATGGAGGCCATGCTGAAGCTCGGAGGGCACACAGCTCTCTGCAAGGTCCAGTGCACTAAGGCGGGTGCTTTTTGTGGGGACGCTTCCCGTGATACAAGTCATACAAGTGACAATGATATCAATGACATCCGCAACATAGTTGTTGTATGTTGTTGTGCAAGGGTTGCCAGCTCAGTACTGGCTTAGCCTGGGCAGGTCATGGAGTACTGTGCGCGAGAAGCGGCCCAGATCTTCGGGGGGCTGTCGTACTCCCGGGGTGGACAGGGAGAGAAGGTAGAACGTTTGAACCGTGAAGTTCGTGCCATGGCGATCCCTGGAGGTGAGAGTCTTAGTGG